GAAGTAGAAAGTAATACTGGTAGTACCTCCAGTAACAGCTGGTATTAACAAGTTGTAATACCGTAATCAATGTTCAAGACTTTAAATAGGATCTTTGCTGGAATGGTAGACTAGTAGGACAGCGGAAGTCTTAGAACTTGTAAGTGTTGACCATAATTTACTGAAGAACAAGTTAATAATTAAAGTCATACAAGCTACTCTTATACCTGCTAGAAGTACCTATTCGGTAATGTACCTGTTCAAAAATATTTGTGCTATGCGCTCTAACCGCCACTGAAAAGATCGCGACTGTTCGCATGACTGAAACGGCCTGCTAACGTAATCATCCAGACGAGCGCTATTTGCTGGCGTCATTCTACAAATGCTAACTACAGTGTAACTCGATAATATCTACCGGAAATACTTACAGAAATGCTTGAGTACGATTTTATCACAACACTCCCCTTTATTTTTTGGAAGTCCGATAGTGTCACTTCTTGATAATTCCGCAGAGTTCGTTGCAGTACTGGAACTTCTGACGTGTCAGCTTCTTGGTGAGAAAATCTGCAGCCATTTCATTGGTCAAGCAGTAGACCAACCGCATTCTCCCCTTTTCGACTTCATCTTTGATGAAGAAGTATTGTAGCGAAATGTTTTTCATCCTGTAGGCGAAACCAGTTTGGTGCGCAATTCGGACTGCACTTTGGTTGTCGCTTTGCAGGGTGAACTGTGTACTTGTCATCAATTTTGCTTCCTCAAGTAGCTCTTGTAGATAGAGTCCTTCGCGAGTAGCTGTGCAGGCAGCTATGAACTCGGCTTTAGCAGATGATAGAGCTACGAGCTCTTGCTCTGTAGAATTCCACGAGATAGTCCCAGTCGGTGCGAGATCGACGATTAGAAGTATCTGCTGCATGATCAGCATCGTTGTACCCGTTAAGATATAGATTTTTCGTAGTAGTGAGTTGATAGGTAAGTCCGACTTCAGGTGTCGAAAAGAAATACTGTAGAGCGCGAAGAAGATTTAGCCGATTCTTCCCCTCAGGTCGACGCACAAATTGTGCGAGCTGGCTAGCGGCATAGGCAAGATGCGGAGGACATGTTACAGCTGCGAATAGAAGACAACCCAGGTGTTGTTGATATAGCTGTAGTTCAGTGTTATCGAATGGAGTAGTATCGGGTTTGTAGTCCGTCGGTAAAGATCGGTAAGGAGTGGTTACAGTTGAAGGTGTGAGGTTAAAGCGTGCGGCTAGCGTAGCTGCGTACTTAGACGCTGTAACATGAATAGCAGTTGCTGTTCAGTGGATGTTAAGGCCGAGAAACTGTGTGACTATAGGAGTGATAGTGATCTGTAGATTTTGTTGATGTTTCTGTTCGAAGACAGAAGCGAGAGAATCGGTTGTGCCGATGTAAAGTAAGTCGTCGACATACGCGACGAGTAGGATGTAGTCAATTCCGTCGGTCAGTACGTACATTCCTTGGTCGTATGGAAGCTGACGAAAACCGGCAGTTAATAGCTGACGGTGAAGATACTGCTGCCATAGTCGTGGAGCCTGTTTGATGCCGTAGAGAGGCTTTCTGAGACGGCATACGCTTGAAGGATTAGTTTCATAAGAATGCGGGTACTCGACCAGAATTAAGGCGTCGACAGGTGCATATAAAAATGCATTGTCGACGTCGATTTGGCGAAGTCTGAAGTTCCGGTAGGCTGCGATACAAAGGAGGATTCGGACACTAGTGTGTTTGCCGATGGGAGCGAAAGTTAATTCGTATTCCAGTCCAAACGTTTGCTCGAAGGAACCATCCGCGCTTGTCTTCATGCAAAAAACCCATTTTCCGGTAAGAACCTTACTGCCCTTTATTGCTTTCAACGGGATTAGATCCCAGGTACCTCTCTTTTCCAGAGCTGCTAACTCTCAGTCCATGGCTTCGCGCCATTTTTCCCTGTGTTGACTTGTCAAGGCTTGGCAAACTGTTTTCGGCTCCAGAATCTTACTGCAGTTTGACTGTACTATGACTGCGAGTCCCAATACCTGTAATCCAGTTTCTGTAAAACGAGGACGATTTGAGTTGACACTGGAAAAGTTGTGTTCTAACACCTGTTCCCCCCCAGATTCTTCAGGTGTTACACGGATAGCTTCTTCGGAGACAACGGGCATTGGCTGCTGCTGACGATCACGTTCGTAATCAAGAACGACATCGCAGAAATCTTCAGAGTCTGCTTCGCTGAGTGGGGTAAACTCGGCTGTTCCATCTGACGTGGTTGGCACGGGGATGTCTGTGGCAGATTCGGAAGATAGCGATGGATTCATCCTGTACATCTGCTTCGGCCTCGTTGGTAGCGAAAGCACGCGATCCTTCGAACAGCCTGGCATGATTGGCAGTTGCAGCCTGGTGAGCACGAAAAATATGTAAGGTGAGTCGTTCGTAGAAAACACAATCACGTGCTGGTACGATTTGACTCGTGCGAAGATCCATAATTTTTCATGCGTAAAGCTGCTTCTCGATGCCAAGATGAATTCCCCACTTAGCATCGAGTAGAAGCCTCGATATAGGAGATTTTATAGAGCTCCCCCTTAGGTCCTGCTTCAGGTAAATTGAGGATGTCGCTGTAGACTTTCTGCATAAGTGTGTAACGAGTCGATCCCGGAAAATGGCTTGGAAAAGGTTCGTGAGGAAGATTAGCAGTTGTGCACATTGTGCAGACTGCTGGTCGTAAAGACGGCTTCATCTCGGTTCCATCCGGTAAGAGTAAGCTGTTCTTGTCAAGAACTGAAGCTTGTATAGTATGATTAAGAATCCCCGGAGAAGGATGACCTAACCGTTGATGCCATATATCCTCTGTTGCTTTGTGTCTTGTTGATCGCAAATAAAAATCGGTGTTAGTGTAAAATGAAGAAACGATGAAAGGAGAAAACGCTGGTGACTCATCGAGTTGTCTAGGAACGAAGCGGGTAAGAGGTAACTTAGTGGTTTTTATTTCCACGTCGAGAACTTGTGCTGGTTGTAGAACTAATTCTCCTTCTTCGATTTCTGTTTCTGTTGCGGCAGGCTGACCGATGAGAACCCCTGTGTCTGCTTCACGGCTACTCTGCTGCTCTGCTTCCTCTGTTTTGCTGCAGGTGCTGCTGGGTCCCCAAGGTACTACAGGTTTGTTGTTTAGTTGTTGTAAAGTGTCATAATAGTTCCGCCACACTGATGTATCTTCTTCAGCTGTGTTTGTTGGCCAGGAATCAAGAGCCGTTATAACCGCTGTGGCTGTACGAGATCCCGTTGGAACTGCAGTTGCACGGAAGTCTATTCAACCTTTTGAAAATCAGTTTCCTCAGGATGTTGCCAAGGCCCAAGAGATTACACTCTGTCAGAATCTCCAGAAGTGCCTTGCGACTCGAATGGCAGCCCTCCCGATGTAAGTATTGGTATCGTTGTGATAAATTTCCCGGTCCATGGTCTCACAATTGCCTTGTGTCCTGATCTTATGTCGCAAGAGTTGAGCCGTTGAAAGAAGATTAAAACCAAGTCCAGCGATGATGAGGACGTTTGTAACATGTAAGGAAAAACCAGTGTCAACGGAATCCAACATGATGCTGCTGATTGATCTTGTCATGATCGTTTGTCCGTTTGCAACTGTGATAGGTACTGGACGTCGACGAGGACGCTGATGAGTGATGAAGAGCATCTCGGCAGAACACATGTGTTGACCACAACAACTGTCAAGTTACCAAGTGTTTGGTCCTGCAATAATCTGAGGGAGATTAGCATAAACCTGAGGTAAGATCATGTTCTCATGTTGCTCAATGGAACTTTCTTCCTCCTCAACGTCGAAATCTGAATCTCTTGCATGAACTGTTGTAACACAGCTAAAAACACGTTTTCCTAATGTGGCAGGAGTTGTTGTTGGTGGATTCTGCTTCACGGGTTGCTTGAACTGTTGCGCCTGCTGCTGTGCTCCTCGTTTCTTATCAGCTTGAAGCTTGTTGTAATATTTGATGTTGTGTCCATCCTTTTTGCAGTAGTGACAGAAGAACTTGTTGGCACGTTTTGCAAGTGTTGAATAGAAACTGATATTAAGTGCTCCCTTTTGTTACGCGCTGTTTGCAAGTCAATGTCACAGGATCGAATGCGTCGATGAAAAGTTGCACTATCAATTGATACAAGGCACTTTTATAGTTCCGAGGTATATCAGGTAACCAGGTTTATCCTATCCAAAGGGAATAGACCCTTTTAGAAATAGAATCACCTTGCGTATAGCCACACGAGGCAATTGGCTTAAGGGGATTACGGCAAGATTACGCTAGATATAGCGCGCCAGTACATTCCGAGCCTAGTCGGTGATATAATTTTAATAATAGGATACCCCGAAGGATAATGAGAAAGGAGGAATATGAAACCAAATGGGATGTGATAAAGATCAAAGGAATCAGGATAATCTGAAGAATGAGATAGAGTAAAAAGATGGGTATGAGAAAGACGTGTAACGGGGTCGTACTCTCACAATCAATGTCCTACAGCTTAGCTTGAAGAATCGAACAAATTCGGCTTCGGAAAGATTTGGTTGAATGCGAAGAAGAGATCGTGTTGTGTGATGTCATCATATGCTATCACATTCTGTCTGCCTCCCATCCCATGTTTTCAACTTGCATGTGTGGTTTGAGCGTGTGCAAGAATTTGTGTGGTGTGTGTTATGGAGTTTGGGAATGTGTTTTGTGTTATTCTATCTGAGCAGGTATTTGTGATGATAGATCTTGGGAAGATCTTTCTGACGCGATAAGAATCGCTTCAATCGGAGCAAGAACGCGAAAGCTATGAAGATTCAAAGTTCATGAGCTTGCGTTACAATTGCGGCGGTTACAAAGTGAAGTTGTGGGGTGACTCTATATGGAGTTGGGACCTTTGGGGTTGGGGAAATTCGTCACTCTAATGTAACAGCTGCAAATTGGTTGGGAACAACCAAGCTAGGTTGGCAAGGGTGGCCAACTTGGATGGATTGGTTGGGAAGGGACAAATGTCAAAGTTGGGGTTCCTATAGGGAGGGAATCTTTGTGCTTATGGGGTTTCCTTGGTTGGGGACTCTCTTGGGACCTTCCATCTCATCCCTCTCTTCTATCCCAACCTTTCTCTTGCTCCTCTAATTCCTTGTGAGATTCTTGAACTTTGATTGAACTTTTTGAGATTGAGTTAAGTTCTCCTCCTACAGCTTACCCCCTAATGCGTCGAAAGCCATAGCGTCGCGAATACTTTATCACTCAACGTGATTCGAATTGGGAACGGTAGCTGAAACTAAAAGCTACAACATACCCAAGTTTCGCGATATTCCAACGGCTAGTTTTTTGTCGACGTCGTTTCTTGTGAAGACGACTTTTCTGTCTAGAATTTCGGATTTATATTTTGAGTAATTCTAGCTCCTAAGTTCACCTAGACTCCGTCCTTAATCCTAACAAGTGGTATCAGAGCCATATTGAGGACATTGAGAGGAGTCTACAGAAGTGTGAAGACCCTTCTAGACCCACCATGGCCTGTGGGTGTGCCTAAGTGGTGTTCTAAAGGTTGGATGTGTCTTCCGCTAAGGGGAAACTCTGCCGAAATTTCGTGGACGCCGACACTTGTGAAAATATCGAGGGAGCTGAGTGTGGACAGCAAAGGGGAGCTGAAATTCGTCATTTTTCAAGGAGAAGATGAATGAGAGGGGAGGAGATGCTAATGGAAGAGGAGCTGTACCCGAGAAGACAAGTGAGCCGCCGCCATCAAAAGTTGAAGCTTTGGATGGCTCCAACTATGAGGAATGGAGCGGTTGGATGAGGACTGCCTTCAAACGCTACAAGCTACTGAAGATTGCTGTTGGGGAAGAGAAGATGCCGGAGGAAGGCGAAGCACGTGAACGGTGGATTGAGAAAAGCGCCGTGCTTTTCGACCTCATCCTTCAATCGGTCAACAAGGAGATGTTCAAGCACATCAAGGATCTTGTGGAAGCGGATGATTCGGGTCCAAGGGCGTGGAAACTACTACGCGATGTGATTCAGCCCAACACTCTCCCGATGGTGATCGTGCTCGAGAAGGAACTTGCTGCCATCTCCATGCGACCAGGGGACGATGTGAAGCCGGTCCTTGACAAGATCAATGACACCTATGCAAGGATGGCAGCAGAGGGAAGCAGTGTATCTCAGCTGCAGCAGTGCACCAAGATCATCTCGGTGTTGGACAACTCTTGGGACAACCTCATCCCCACCCTCAACTCTCAGCAAGATCAATGGACACCTGAGTGGCTAAGGCAGCAGATTCTGCAGGAGGACTTCCGCAGACGCCATGTGGGAGGTGGTGCTTCCACTAAGATTGCTGAGGGGTATGGAGCTGCAGGGCGCGGCAGAGGAAGAGGGGGTTGGAGAGGCCGAGGCCGTGGGAGGAGCTTTGGCAGAGGTAGAGGCCGAGGTGACTATAATGAGGGGCATGGGAGCTCCAGTGGCAGGGGGAGTACCAGAATGGAGGTCACCTGCTGGTACTGCAAGAAGGTCGGGCATCCTTGGTTCAAGTGCTTCAGCAGGCCGGAGGGATGGGCACCTCCAGGCATGAAGCCGCCAAGTGGTGAACGCGCACAAGGTGGCGCTGTGCAAGGCTCAGGTGCACAAGGTGAAGGTGCACAAGGTAATGCCTATCTTGGGATGTTTCTCATGGTTGAGGATATGCATGGGCATGAGGGTGATGTGGGATCTGTGGGAAAGGTTGTAATGCACCCTCTCACGCACAGGGTGATTGATTCAGGTTGCACCAGTCATATGACGCCACGGGCAGATTTGCTTGATGAGGTAAAACCCCCTGGGAAGATTAAGTATGTGGCAGCAGCGTCAGGTGCTTTGCTCCCTGTGATTGGTGTTGGAAATGTCAAGGTTAAGGGAGCTAATGGGGAGCTTGTGGGGCTTGGAAATGTTCTGCTGGTTGAAGGTTTGTCTGCTAACCTTCTCTCTGTGCGGCGACTGCAGAAGAGCAAGGCCGAAGTGACCTTTGGATCAACCAGCTGCCGTGCTAAGCTTGGGAAGAAGGTGCTGTGGAGTCTGGAAGAGGAGACCAGCTGCATCAAGGACCTGTGGCAGCTGCCCATCATCCCTTGGAATGGGAAGACTCCAACAGCAGCAACGGCAGCAGCGGCAAAGGCAACAGCAGGAGGAGATGCAACTGCACCAACTCATGGGGTCATGGAAGCAGTTAAGAAAGTGCAGCAGCAGCAGACACATGGTGAGGTGCTTGCTGGTGTGGATGCGAGTGCGGCATGGGCTAAGGCTTCATCAAGGAATGGTGAGGCTGATTGGGAGACATGGCATGAGAGGCTGTGTCATGTGAACTTCCCTATGCTGCAGAATTTGGTGAAGGATGGAAACCTAAAGGGCTTGGAGGTGAAAGGGGGAGTGAAGGAGATTGGGAGCTGCCCTACATGCTTGGAGACCAAGTTCTCCAAGTTCCCCTTCAACAGCACTACAGGACCAGCCAAGACCCCACTTGCACTTGTGCACATGGATGTGATGGGGCCTACAAGAGCCCCTTCCCTCTCAGGCAGCCGCTATTTCTTGACAATTGTGGATGACCACACTCGGGCAGTGTGGGTTTACCCTTTGAAGAGCAAGGGGGAGGTGGCAGCGGCTGTCCTTAAGGAGTGGATGCCTAGAGCTCAGAGGGAATGCGGACACAAGATGAAGGTGATCCGCAGTGATAATGGTGGGGAGTTCATTGGAGCTGATTTTGAGGGGGAGTTGAAGAGGAAGGGGATCCAACATCAACTAACAGTGCCCTACAACCCACAGCAGAATGGCGTGGCTGAGAGGTTCAACAGGACCCTGCAGGAGGGGGCACGCACTCTCCTTGGGCGTGCAAGGCTGCCTGATCCGTTTTGGGTGTCTGCACTGAGGCAGGTCGCCCTTGTGAAGAACAGGGTGATGGCTACAGTTGGGGATAAGGAGTGGATCCCGTATACCAAGTGGTATGGGAGTGCTCCAGCTGTGAACATGCTGAGGGCATTTGGGTGCATGGTGGTGTTTCATGTGCCCAAGGAGAAAACGGGGAAGTTCGAGGCTTCTGGAAGATGGGGTGTGCACTTGGGGATTGCAAAGGATCACAAGGGGTGGCTGCTGTGGGACTTGACCACCCAGAAGCTGACAGTGTCAAGGGATGTGAAGTTTCTTGAATCCCAATACTACAAGGAATGGAAGCAGCAGCAACAGAAGCTTCCATCTACACCGCTCATTGTGTAGGCAGATGAGGTGCAGCGGCCTTCAAGACAGGTGGAGGTTGCAGTGTCTGAGGAGGAGATGTCTGGGGTGACGGAGGAAGGGGGAGCAGCTGAAGTGGAGCAGCAGCAGCAGCAGCATGAGTCTCCACCTCGAGTTCCACACCCGCCTGAGCGACCTAGGAGGGATGTGCGCCCTCCGGTGAGGCTGACCTATGGGGGAAGAGGCAAGCCGAATGTGGTGCAGGCTGGGAGTGTGGTTGAGCAGATTGAGGAAGATGAGATCGCTCACTGCTACTGGGCACCAATCCCTGAGCCCAAGACTCGAGAGGAGGCCTTGAATGGACCAAATGGGGAGAAGTGGAAGGCAAGTGAGGATGATGTCACAGGATCGAATGTGTCGAGGAAAGGTTGCACTATCGATCAGTACAAGGCGCTTTTATACTTCCAAAGTACAGTACATCAGGTAACCCGGTTTATCTTATCCTAAGGGAATAGACCCTTCTAGAAGATAGAATCACCCTGCGTATAGCCACGCGAGGCTATTGGCTTTAAGGGATTACGGCAGGATTACGCCAGATAGCGCACCAGTACATCCCAAGCCTGGTCGGTGATATAATTACAATAGCAGGATAAACCAAAGGTTAAGGGAAAGGGGAGAATAGGAAACCAAATGAGATGAGAGAAATGAACGAGGAAGGAAATAAGAAAAGGGACAAGTGGTGTAACGGGGTCGTACTCTCACAGATGAGGAGTTCGGGTCCCTGATTGAGAACGAGATATGGGACCTGTGTGACTTGCCTCCTGGGAAGAAGGCAATCACTTCCAAGATGATCTACAGGCACAAGTATGGACCTGAAGGGGAGCTGACCCGCTACAAGTCTAGGCTTGTGGCACGGGGGTTTCAGCAGACAAAGGGGAAGGACTATGATGAGGTGTTTGCTCCTGTGGGGAAAGGAACAACACTGAGGGTGCTGTTGGCGATAGCTGCACTCCTGGGATGGAAGATACGGCAGATGGACATTGTGACTGCCTTTCTGAATGGGATCATTCTGGAGGAGGTGTACATGAAGCAGCCAGAGGGGCTGGATGATGGGAGCGGCAGGGTTTGCAGGCTGAAGAAGGCCATCTATGGCCTTAAGCAGGTGCCTCGTGCATGGTATCACAAGTTGGAGGAGGCGCTGCTGGCTGGGGGTTTCAAGAAGAGTGAGTGTGACCCCAGCCTGTTCCTGCTGCAGGAGAAGGATGAAATCCTCATGCTCTTGGTGTATGTGGATGATATCCTTCTCTTTTCTGCATCAACTGCTTTGCTGGACAGCGCAGAGCAGATGTTGGAGATGCAGTTCAACTGTTCCAAGATGGGTGAGGTGAAGTACTACCTGGGGATGCATGTGGAGAGAGATGTGGAAAAGGGTGTGCTGAGGTTGCACCAGAGGAAGTACTGTGAGGGGCTGGCTGAGAAGTATGGGCTGCAAGATGGGGGAAAGCGAGCAACACCACTACCTTCGGGGTTTACTGTGGAGCCATGTGCTGATGAGGAGGTAGTGGGTGAGAGTGACAGGAAGCTGTTTCATTCGATTGTTGGGTCGCTGAATTATGCTGCAAATCATACACGGCCTGACATTGCATTTGCTACATCATGGCTGGCTAGCGTGGTTTCACGCCCTAGTCATGAGCAGCTGGAAGCGGCCAAGAGGTTGGTCCGCTATGTGAGTGCTACGGCATCAGTGGGATTGGAGTACAGTGGAGTGAGGCAGCGGTTGCAAAGAGGTGCTACAGAAGTGAAGAGTGGAGAGATGCTCTTGAGTTGCTATACTGACGCTAGCTTCAACTCAGTGAAAGCGGATGGCACCAGCATTGGAGGTTATGTGTGCTTGCTAGGAGGTGGTGCTGTGAGCTGGCGCAGCAAGAAGCAGAATGAGGTGGGATTGTCCTCATGTGAGACTGAGTACATGGCCTTACACCATGGGGCCAAGGAAGTGGTGTGGCTGAGGCGCTTGTTAGAGGAGTTGGGAGTGGGTCAGAAGGAGCCGACGGTGATCTTCTGTGACAATGAGTCTGCAGTGAAGCTGGCCAAGAATGCTTGTCTACATGGGCTGACAAAACACATAAGGCCTAAGTGGCATTGGGTGAGGAGACTCCTTGATAAGGAGGTGCGGCTGGAGATAGTGAAGACCCATCAGCAGGCAGCAGATATTTTCACTAAGCGTCTGGCAGAGGCGGATCATTGGAAGGGCATGAAGCTTGCTGGGATGAGTGTGCATTGAGTATGCATGCTTGAGATGTTGGTATGGTGGATGATGGTTGGCAGCCAGAGGGGGAGATTGTTGTGTGATGTCATCATATGCTATCACATTATGTCTGCCTCCCATCCCATGTTTTCAACTTGCATGTGTGGTTTGAGCGTGTGCAAGAATTTGTGTGGTGTGTATTATGGAGTTTGGGAATGTGTTTTGTGTTATTCTATCTGAGCAGGTATTTGTGATGATAGATCTTGGGAAGATCTTTCTGACGCGATAAGAATCGCTTCAATTGGAGTAAGAACACGAAAGCTATGAAGATTCAGTTATATTCACAATAGGCTCAGATGTGCCAATAATGAGAGATAGAGAGCACAGTCGGATTTCTGTCAGACGGCTTCAAATATTGATAACGATCTGCTCGCTAACTTAATTGGTAATCTGTAAATTGGATTTGGAGCGCGGTGCTGTCGTCTATCAGCAGCAAGTTGAATCATGAAATTCCATGAAGATTTGACGACGCTATGGCGGTTTGACTGGCAGGAGGTACAGCAGCCACTATAGTCTTAGGAGTACAAAAAAAAACTTAGGAAGAAGAATTCAAGAGGGAGATGGTTCCCAGCCTCTACATATCCCAAGAGCTGAGGTCCTGGTTGGTGGTATACAACCACAGAGTCCCCAACCACGAAGAGTCTCGAAACCAACCCTCCAAGGGGCTACACCAAGTGAAATGTAACACTACACGAAGTAGCGTTACTATTTTCACTATTTAATATTTATCCGCGTCCCTTGGGCTTGAAATCTTGAGCTCTTGGTCTTGGATCCGCAAGATAAATTCTTCTTGAGTTGATGGGGGCTTGCTGCACACACCTGCGATGCGATGGACACTTCACACTCGACAAAATAGAAAAAACACATGCGACACACAAACGACGACTTGACATGCGAGTTGTAAAAACTCGCTAATGTCTTGACCGACACAAACCACATTGTGATACACCATTCAAACACACACACAAGCACTGGATAGCAATGATATAGACTCACAATTCATTCCATGCCATGCATGCACACACACAAACAAGGACGACAAGCCGAGTGCAAGCCATAGGGTTGCACCAACAAACTCCCCCTCGGATTGATGGCCATATAATCTGCTCCTCTTAGTTCAGAGCCATCTCAGCAAGCTTGCAATACTTCCAATACTGCTGCTCAACCAGCCTCTTGGTCATCATATCAGCTGGCTGCGCCGTCGTCTTCACGTAGTGCAACTCCACTTCACCCGCGGTTACCATGCTCCTCACCCAATGCCACTTCACCTTCATGTGCTTGGTAAGGCAAGAACGGGGTTCTTTGCCAATGCAATAGCACCTTGGCTATCACAGTAGAGTGGGGTAGGTCCTTGCTGCTCCTCCCCGAATTCAGCTAGCAAACGCCGCTGCCACACAACCTCTCTTATGGCACGGAAGAGTGCCATGTACTCGGACTCCACCGAGCTCAATGCTTGGTCCACTTGTTTCTTGCTCTCCCAAGCTGTTGGTCCTCCACCAACACAGCAGATGAAGCCTCCCACACTTGTCATGTCCTCTGGTTCTGATGCCCAAGATGCATCAGAGAAGGCGGTGAGAAAGAGCCTCCCGGGTTCGACTCCATCCGCACCCTTTTGACGCCTTTGTGCCGCCGCGGAGTATTGCAGTCCAACAGTTGCTGTTTGGCCAAGGTACTTGGCCACCCTCTCTCCAGCTGCTACTTGCTCTTCATTAGGGCATTGAACAACCCTCGCCAGCTGCCTGGTAGCAAAGGCTGCATCCGGCCTTGTATGAACGGCCGCATACATGAGGCTGCCCACCAAGGAGTGAAAACGGCGCCTCTCCTCTTCACCAACACTTTCCTCCGCTGGTCCTTTCACACACTTGAACCCTGAGGGAAGAGGAGTAGCCACATGACCTTCACTCTTCCCAAAGTTTGCAGCCAAGGCCTCCAAGTACTTCTTTTGATGCACTCGCATCCACCGCTTCTCCACATCTCGCTCAATGTGAAACCCAAGGTAGTAGTTGACATCACCAAGGGTCTTGCACTTGAACTTGTCTTGAAGCTTCAGCATCACATCCTTCACAAGGTCAGAGGAGGGTGAGAATATGAGGATGTCATCCACATAAACCACCATGAAGCTCCTCTGCTCCCCCTCGCCAAGCATGAACAAGGATTGATCGGCCGTTGAGGGAGTGAAGCCGATCGCCTTCAAGACTTCCCGCAGCTTGATGTACCATTGCCTAGGGGCTTGCTTGAGGCCATAGAGTGCTTTCTTCAGCTTCCACACTCTGCCACTCCCATCATTGTACCCCTCTGGCTGCTCCATGAAGGTCTCTTCCTCCAAAACGCCGTTGAGGAAGGCCGTTACGATATCCATTTGCTTCACTACCCATCCTTTGATGGCCGCCGCGGCGAAGAGGGTTCGAAGGGTTGTACCCTTCACCACAGGGGCATACACTTCATTGTAGTCCTTCTTCTCTTGCTGCTGATACCCGTTGGCTACAAGTCTGCTCTTGTAGCGCTCAATGTTGCCGTCGGCGTCGGTCTTGCGCTTGAAGAGCCACTTGGAAGAAATCGCCTTACGCCCCGGAGGTAGGTTCACCAAGTCAAATGTGTCGTTCTCTATGATGATCCCCATTTCTTCATCTGAGGCCTTCTTCCACTCCTTCCCATTGGGGCCCTCCCAAGCCTCCTTGGGATTTGTAGGCTCCCCCGGCATCTCCACCGGAGAGAAGAAGGCAAAGGCGCACTCATCGCTTTCATCTTCCGCATCATCGCCTAGCATGAGAGCCGAACCGGTCAAGGTTGAGTTGGCTGGTCCTCCAAGCCGGTCAAAGCTCAACCTATTAGGGGGCTGAGTCCTCCTTCTCCCCCTTCCTTCCTCCTCTGCTGCAGGGACTCGAATGCTCTCATGGCGTTGCGGTAAATCTGGTCGGTTCCCACGAGCACTTGTAGCACGAGGCGGAAGTGACGGTGCACACTCATCACCTTGCTGCACCTCCTCCTCCTCTTCTCCCCCATTCATTTGAGGAGACTGCCTTGTGATTGTGCTGCTGCTACTCAGCTCCAAGGGCAGCTCCACATGCTCCAAGCCGGTACTCATTACCTCTCCAAGCCGCACACCAATCTTTGCTTGGTTCTCCGCCTTCCACTCCTTGTACGGTAAGTTCTCCATGAACTTGCAATCTCTGCTCACCAAGAACTTCTTGGTAAATGGGTCCCAAAGAAGCCATCCCTTGCTGTTTTGAGCCATGCCCAGGTGCACGGCCCATGTTGCCTTGGCATCAAGCTTGTTGTGCCGAAGTTTTTTAGGTACAAGTGCCATGCACATGCACCCGAACACCCGAAGCATATCCACCTTCGGCTTCCTTCCAATCCACTCCACATTGGGCACCCATTTGTCTTCTCCCACGTGAGTCAATGCTCTGTTCTTGGCCACACAAGCATGTCGCACCGCATCCGGCCAAAAATAATTGGGTAGACCGGCTTCAATGAGAAGTCCCCGAGCCGTCTCCGTGAGTGTCCGATTCGCACGCTCGACGATGTTGTTCATTGCAGGAGAGTAGGGCATGGTAAGAGAGTGCCTTATGCCCTGCTTCTTCAGCCAAGTTGAGAAATCCTTGCTCAGGAACTCTCCCCCACGGTCAGTGCGAATTGCCTTCACAAGCCGGTCTTGTTGCCGCTCCACCATCGGCAACCAATCGGTCTTCACCGTTTCAGCTACATCACTCTTCTTGGGCAGCACATACACCCAAGTCATGCGAGTGTAGACGTCCACAATGGTGAGGAAGTACTCAGCTCCAGCAGCTCCAAGCTTCAAGGGGCCCACCACATCCATCACCATCTCATCAAGTGGTGCCTTCGCCGTTGACTCCGAGCTATGGAACGGGTAGCGGGTGAACTTGGCTTGCATGCATGTTGGACAGCCAAGCACCTCATTGGGCTCCCCCTTGACACGTATCCCACTGACCATCTCTTGCTTAACTATCTGCTGCAAAATGGGCAATGCCACATGCCCCATTCGCCGATGCAAGGTCAGCCAATCACACTCTCCCGTAGCGGAAGTCGGGTTGGAGAAAGCGGCACTCGCAATTGTGCCCCACAAGCTCTCTCCTTTCTCCTTTGCCGCTGCTGCTTTGCTGATCTTAGGCTTATCCTCCTCATTTCCACCACCTTTGGCTGCTGCACCACTCTCCTTGGGTTCACACGCCTTGCTGGTCTCTCCAAGGTTGCACTCCTTCGAGTCATTCTTGGTGTCAATTTGTTTTCCGTGATCACCGTCATCAACCGCTTCACTCTTGGTGCTGACGCTTGCTGCCACTTGCCTCCCCTTAGGCATGGTGACCACTGGGATTTTCCACATCTCATTGTAGATGTCCCTGTCCTCATGAAGGTCCCAAAGCTTCCGCTCACCAAGCCTCGCGGTATATGTTTTGGAGCCCTTGGAAGATGTGTCCATGCCGGCCTTTTGCAAACGCCGAACAGAGATCAGGTTGGCTGCTAGGTTGGGCACCCAAAGCACGTTCTTGAGGCCCACCATCTTCCCATCAGCACTCTTGAACATGGCCTTGCCCATGCCTTTCACCTCTGCTCGCTGCCCCAAAGCCAATGTAACATGCTTCACCGGCGACGGTTCGAGTTCGGTGAGCAAGTCCGCACGAGGTGTCATGCTATAGGTGGCGCCGCTATCGATCACCCAAAAGTCCAGAGAGTGAAGGGTGACCTTTCCCACAGTAGCTGGCTCCTCAAAGCCATCCACACCTCCTGCTGCAGCTGCCGCTTGCGTGGAGACAAAGAAGAATTGGCCCAGGTATCGTTCTTCACTCGAGTCCTTGTCGTAGTCTCCAGCTTTTATGCTTGCCGCTTCGCCTCCACGGCCACCACGGCCTCCACAACCTCTGCCTCTTCCTCCCCTTGCTCCTCTGCCCTCTTGGCCTAGAGAAGGGGTCCATCCATCAGGCAATCTGAAGCAATCTCTCCACATGTGGCCGGTCTTGCGACAAAAGTGGCATTCGCCATCAAATCGACCGCGCCCACGCCCGTAGCCATTGTTATTGTTGTTGCTGCCATATCCTCCATTACCACGGC